ACCTTTAGGTGGGTCATCACCAGGGACCAAACTGGTCATATTGAAGGCTTCAGTATCATTTGGAGACATCTTGTTTGATAAGAAGAGAAGAAAAGGAGTAAGACGAGAAGTCATGAATGACCTGTAATTAAGTACCTGAATTATAAGTAGATAAAGGGAATTTTATTAAAACAAAAAGGAAAAAGAAAAGTACCCATCCTCCTCGGTCAGTTTTTTTTGTGCTTGAAAAATTATCTACAACAAAAGGCAAAATAAAAAATCAGTATAAAAACTACCACACAGGGGGACAAAAGGATAACACTCAAGGACATCCTATTAAACACAATACCAGAAATGATTAAAGAATAAATATTTCATTAATTATAGTCATAGTGGATTTGACAGTGATGTTACATCACGGAGAAAAAGAAAAGCATTAATTGTCAAGTGATTTTTAGTTAATACATACTAAAGTGTTCTCTGCTTTAATCCCAAACAGCAATCTGTCATTAAGCTTCTCTCATACCTTTTTTGTCCAGCATTTTGAGTTCATTTTGTATTTTTGCTTTCTTATATTATATTGAAAATATGTTCTTTTGTTGGTATTACCAGTTAGGTTTAAGTTGAGTTTTATTTTAGTTCAGGTTTTCATGTGTGTCCCCTTGTGTGAGTCTGTTCTGGCCTTCTGTGTCAGTATGTCATGTATTTCTTGTCTGCGTATTTTCATGTTGTCAAGCCTGTGTTGTCATGTTTATGTCTCTCGATGTTTCCTGTTTTATTTTGAAAGTCTTGTGTTTCTATTTTCAGTGTGCTTAGTTTTACACTGTCATTGGCTGTGTCCCAATTCAGGGTCTGCACGCTTGAAGTACGCGCACTACGCGTACTACGCACGGTGCGTACTATAAGTACGAGAAGTGCGGAAGTGAGAGGCTTGTGAAATGGGACGGTATATGCTTCGTCGCGCCGTTCAGGTTGCCTAGCAACCATGATACTAACCACGAGACACGTTACATACAGTTTTGTTTGACAGAAATGAAGGAGAAAAATGTTTTGTTGGCCATTCGTTTTTGTCATGACATCACTTTGATTAGTTGAGTATCTGAGGCTGAGACCACGGGACTGTAAAACGTGATAGTTGGGCTTCATTTCTGTGCTGAACAGTCATTTAAGCTTAGTTAGTAAATAACAATTAGTTAATGTTGTTCATGAGACT